TCCATAAATGCACACCCTCTATAAATGCACATTTTTCAAAAATTTTCCTATGGTCCCGAGGAGTGTGCATTTAGAGAAGGTTTACTGTATAGTGTATAGAATAATCTGTATAAAGTAGCATATAATTACTGGTTTACAAGTCCTTAAAATGTAATCTTGATATTACTATATATCATATGGTATATAATAAACAAGTAATTTATTGTTTCTATAAATTGCATCTAAAAATTTAATTTTGTTAATAGATAAGTAAGTTTATCTTTACTGAAGAGTTCAATACTAATTAATAAACAAATGATTCAATATTATTTAAAGTTAAAAAAAAAAACTGTTTGGATCTGCTTTAAAAGAAATCTTCAATAAGTCAAATCAAAAAAACTTTCGTGGGATGTGTTTATGGCCTTTTTTCATGTCACTTGTGATTACGGCACGCTGACAAGGCAGGCATTTAAAAATGAAATATTTTATCTGTTGAGAACGACGTTAAAAGAATCAATTGTCGACCAAACCACACATTTTCTGCTTGTTTCCCTTCATACTTAAAGACATCGCAATGTTATAAAAATTACATATGGACACTAAGTTTGTTTTTTTAAATATAAATTTTGTGAGTTATGTTTAGCTATTCCACTGATTTGGTTGTGATCGAAAGTTCCATAAATTTTCCTTTGGAGGGTTGCATTCATCATAAATACATTTATAGAATAGAATGGTGCGTATGTTTATCACAAACGTAAATCACATCTGTTTACATTATCGTGGCTTGAGAGAAATAAATGATGTGACGTTGTGGCGTTCGGAGAATTTTTGTTTATTAACGTGTTACAAAATTAAATGAGAAGAAAAACGTTTATCCTTTAAAAACTTATTATTATCAGAACATATTAAATATGAAGGTGACCTCAAGGTCTAGTAACAGATTGACCTCGATTTATTCTCGATCTAAAGTTTATGATCCCAGTTCCGACGCGAGCGACTTAGAGTCTGATGAATCTACGGAAGAAGAAGCAACTAAAACTGAAGAGGCTTACCAAAGCGAAGACGAAGAAATGGATGAATTAGAAGAATTGTTACAGGAAGAAGAGGAAGAAGAGGAAGAAAATGAAGTCGAGCAAGAGGAAAATGAACAAATCGAAGATGACGTTGACGTCGAGGCTGAAGAAATGGACGATGGCGAAGCGACACCCGTTGACGACGACGAGTTCGACGAAGAGGAAGAAAGTGAGGAGGAAGAAGAACAAAGTGATTATGAGGAAGCTCAATCACGAAAATCAAGGAGTAGAACGACGCAAAATAATCCATCAAAACCGAAACAAGTTTCAAGGTCAAAACAAAAAGAACCTCAAGTTAATGATAGTTCAAAAAAACGGAGTAAGCATTAATCTATGTTTACGTTCAAACCAATTAATAAGAGTCGGCAATGCATGTCTAATTATCTTTAATAACAGCTAGGTACATTCTCTGAAGTTCATTACGTTTTTACGCAACTCCACACTACATATTTATCATTTTTACTCAAAGTGTGGCGGAGTCATCACCTACACCCGAAAATCGTGTTCTTACCAAGAGACAAAGAGCTAAACTAAACGAAAATTATGAGCAGGATTTGCTTCAACTTCCAATGGGTATATATTTTCAATTCACATAAAATCTTTCAAATCGAATGGTATCTCATACCTATTTTAAATTATTCTAAGAACCTATGAGAAAGAAACAATTGACAGAAGAAGAGATTCAACTCAAAAAGTCGGAAATCGCGCGGCGTAGGAAAAATCAGAGCATTCAACGCGCTGAACAGGATAAGGTATATTCCACTTTATCTTTAATATTTCAACTCTCGAGTTTAACATTGCATTATTTGCTATCGATAATGACAGATGGACACCATAAACCGTCTCCTGAAAAAGCAAGCTTCTAAGAAACGATTAAAGGATCAGGATGATAACGACGTTGTTCAAAATAATGATGATGGGTCAAGTGCAAACATACCAAATGTATTCCATTATGTCACAAATCAAGAAGGTTGTTCATTATCGGTGCCTCGAGGTGTCAACATACCAATAGAGTTTTCCAAGGGACCAAAGTAAGATTAGAAAAACAAGTAGAAGATCGTATGAACAGTGTTCATTGATGATATTATTCATGTGGTCTTATAGATACCCACCACCTGTTCCAATATGCTCATTCTCCGGTTGTCAGCTACCTAAAAAGTATCGTAGTACGAAAACATTTGAGTTCGCTTGTTCCATGGAACATCTCAGGAAGATTGATGCTCAAACATGATGATTAAGGTAGAGTAACAAAATTCAATTAGTGGATTATTATTTCTTTTTTTCTTCAGAATTAGTTATTACTAAAAAAATTTTGAATTCTGGAACCTTGAATTTGTTACTTTAAACTAAATTATACATTCAGATCGTGGGAAGTACAAGCATTAATCATATTGTAAAAAATTCATCCAATTCTATTTTAAATAGAATATAAGTTATATATTGTATATGTCATTGTAAAAATTCTAATAAAATTACATTGTTAACGTGTCCATTGCACGTTATAAATGTCTTTTTTCTGTGTATTGTATTTTTTCTTATATAATTCGCTTGTTTAAGATATATTTGACTTTGTATTCAAGTTTTTAGTCTAAATATAATAATTGATAGTAGTAATATGGGTTGGTACACAGCAAAACCATGCTTTGAAAGGTTTTAACAAAAATTGAGATTTTTAGTGGATTATACTCCCAAGAACGTCCTTTATCTGTGATAAAAGTTTAGATATATATTAATATATTATAATTTGGTACAATCTCGCGCGCAGTTTTTTAATTTTATATAGTTCGATATATAAATTAGATTGATAATCGTCGATATCTCCAAATAAGGATTTTGCTGTGTACTAACCTATATAACATTTTGATTGTCCGCGTCTTGTGTAACATTTTTTTCAATGACTGGTGTACATATTGTTTTATTAGATGAATTTTTAATGGTACATGTGTTATTCCCTTTATGGGAATTGACTACTACTTATTCTACCTAATGAAATTACCTAGAGAAAGTTCTTATGACTTTACCCATCAGTCAACTCAAAAAACCATATCCTAATATAATTAGCTGCAAACTAATTATATCTGACAAGGAGTTTTTATAACTCTAACTGGATTTTTTGAAAAATCAAAGTTTTCTTTTATAGTCTCATGGACTTAAGGGGTAAGAAAGCATGCTTCATGGTTGAGAGTTGAAAAAAGCATCAAACTTGACAATGATTATTGTAATACTGCCAAACAATCATTACACCATTATGCCTTTTCTAGATATTACAATTCTAATACTCGTTGAATTAATGTATAAATTGATTTCTTATAGAAAACAGCACATATTAGGTTATGACATCAGATATTATATTGAGATAGTTTGATTACCTTTATCTGAAATTGAACTTGATATCTTATGATGGTGATCAGAAAATGTCAATCCTTTCTACTTTGGTTTTTTCAGAGGTTTCATATTAGCTCTCTAGAGAATTTGAATTAATATTTTATGATCTAATTTGCAAAGCATTAACTACTGTGCTATAGACCTATAGATCATATCTTGTGTAATATTTTTATTGAGCCAAAATTTTATAAATATGTAAAATTGCTTGAGAAACAATTTTACTTAAGGTATTCAAACTAATTTTATTAATAAAATATTATATAATTAATGTTTAAAGTTTTTGTAACTTGTTTTAAAATGTTCCATATATAATATTGCATATAATATATAAAAATTTATTAAATAATTTCTTATAATTTTAATATTAATATATAAAAAATAAAATATAATCTTATATTGATATAAAAAAGAATTTCTTACATTTTATTTTTAATAATAACAAAAAACAGTTTTTATATATATTTATTTATGAAAACTGAAAAACAATCTTTTCAAATAAAATTATTAAAGCAGACTTTATCAGAAATTTACTTATTTCTAATTTCATCAATTTCATTAATTTTTTATTGTAAAAAAAGAAAAATCTATTGAGAGAATTGTTATAATAGATTTTACAAATTCAAAATACACCTTCAAATACAAAAAATATTTTTTTAAACTTTTAATTTATTAGTAATATTATTAAAAAAATAAAAAATTTTTAATTTAATATATTTATATAAAAAAATTTTTTTATTTCAAAAAAAAACAAAAATTTTAATTGTTTTATTTTTGAAAATAATTTTAATTATTATTTTTTTTGTCTTTCAATAAAAAGTATTAAATAATCAGTTACAATACATATACAGTATAGTGCAAAAAAAATAACAATTTTTTTATAATTTAATATTTTATTGGTTTAATTTTGAAAATATAATAAAAAAAAACCAATTAAATAATTTTAAATAATAATAAGAATTTTTTAATATATTTATTTTAAAGTTAAAGATATCATTAAAAAAATTGATTCAAAAATAAGATTACAAAATTTTTTTTTAAAAAAAATTATAACTTTTAATTTAATAAATAAATTTATTAAAAAAATAATATACAATATATAAATATTAGAAATATTCAGAAATATTTATATAATATTTTTATAAAATTTTTTAAAAAAAACAATTTTTTTTTTATATATTTCTAATCATGTTTTATAGATATAAAAAAGAGTAAAAAAATTAAATTATTTTAAAACAGTATTAAATAAAATTGTTTATAAGATATTTAACTATATATTTATAAATTTTCATAAATTTTTAATAATTATTTATTAAGTTATAACTAAAAATATAATTGTCATTTTTTTTATACTATATTGTATATATAAATTCTTTATTTATTATTTTAATTCTATTTCAATTTATTAATTCTATAAAAATTAATAAATCAATTAATAAATCAATAAAACTTTTTAATTTTAATTTTTTTTTATAAAGTTTTTGTAACAATATTATTGATGAAATAAGTAACACAAGGTGTATTATACAAGTGACATAAATAAGCCAATGGAAGAGGCAATCTTTTAGAAATACAATAGTTTAATCTATATCTTTTTAGGATATCTGGAACTTAAAATATCTTGAGTTAATGAATGAACTCTTTCCGCTGATCCTTTTGCCAACCCAAAAAACAGACGTTCTCAAAAAACTTTTTGTTTTTATGATAAT